CAAAGCATTTGCAAACGTTTGCTCTCTAAGCTGATCCAGAATGACAGGACATCCCGCCTCTTCTCCACTGAATGGCACATCAAGACCTCTCTTGAGAAAAGGCCTTCCTGACACAAGAAGAAGCACTAGGAAGCACCGCAAGAAAAAACACATTACAAAAACAAGGTACACAATGCACAGGTTAACATAAGGCATGGCTTTTGTAGTTGCAGCTGCCCGCTGAGTGTTTTGGCCCGGGGTTGTCATTCTCGTTGGCGATTTTGACATAAAGCTAATCAATTTATATATTCACTTTGCACAAGGCACCATTGTTGAGCATCATGCGCAGCTTCAGCCAGGCCTGACCACTGGCCGAGCTCCACATGAATCCGAAGCGACAACTGTATTGAGATGTTCACATTGACATGATGTTGCACATGATGCTGACATTGTGCAAAGGAGGCAGTTGCTCGCCAAAACCAAGCATGTCATATTTTGTTTGGATTTTGCGTGCCTTCCGGCCATCTTCGCTCTGGAAATAGAAGTACACCTGGCTGAAATGGCTACCGTGGGAGCATGATTCGCCAACCCCCCAAATTTTGGGAATTCAACTGTTGAGCCAAAAAGGGGCAAAGGCAGTGCGAACTTACCGCCAAGTTCATGCCGGCAACGCAGCAAGAATCAACAAAGCCACGAAAGGATGACCTTGAGACTTGAGGCTTGCTTCAAGGAGAGTTTCTCCAAGAACGTGAACAGCCGCTGTTGAATGCTATGACTATGAAATATCAACGACTGAAGACTGAAGCATGAACAGAATGGTCTACAGAGGAGGTGTGATCCCCACATCGATGAACTATGGACTTTAAGCCACTTGAGCCTTGACAATTGAAGCTTTATAATAAATGATCGAAAACTCCCAGCAACGCTTTCAATCTAGACTCCAAGATCATGAGTCGTCAGTGCCACCAAAAATTGGAATAGATTTTGAAGCTACAACTATTTCGTTCTTGGCGGGTATGCATTTTGCATTCGTAGTGTGTTCACGACCTCTCCACTAATGCTGCAAGTACAAGGACCTATACATTTCAGTGCAACCACCTCTAGGACTCCGCACGCTGAAACTTGGCCAATGACTCTCGACTTTGGGCTTTGACGAGTTCGAGATTTTGTCTGACATCTGGCCGGTTATATGAGCGGAGTTCAATCAACGCCAGGGTCTCTTGAAAGACAAGCTTTGTATTGTGATGAGTAGTTGTCATGCTTGCTGATCCCCCTTGGTACCGCCAGCTAAGGTAGATCCCCAGGATTTTACGTATTAAAATCCTACCGAACCAAGGTGACTTTCTAGTTTTTCAGGGGTGCCCTAGTTTTTGTTTCTCAAGAGTTGTCTTTAGAACAATCCTATGGACCAACGTGCCCCAGAGGGTTGGGAACCAAGGAAAAAACAATGAGTCCGGGCTGATCAAATCCTACATTAAACTATCAGAATCTCTAACTTGTGAAATCCTGCAGCTTTAGTGAAATCCTGTAGTCTAACGTGTTTTGGGAATCCTGGCGCCTACATGTCTTGATACCTTGGGCACCAGGATTGTTCAAAGCTCCATTTCTGCTGTAATTTCCTAGGGCCCTACCTGACTTACTTTTTTGAGATTTTTACTGAACTATACTGAACCTCGTGTTATTTTTTCTGAAACCTGGTGGTCTACCCGTAGGATTGCAGTTTTGCGAAACCAACGGGGATCTCACTGCTTCAATCAATACACAGCTCTCAAGAATGCCTGACTGAGAAGTGACTCAATCTTGTCCGCATCCTGGGCCAACTGATCCTGAGGCAGTACCACAAAAACACAATAGCCAGGATTGCATACAAATTCCCTAAATAGCTCAAATCCAAAAAATGTGCGGATATGCTACTGCAATCTACTGTATGTCCACAAGTCCGCATAGGCACAGGTTTGATGCTTCTAGACATTGACACAGCTTGCTAAGACCAATCCTCCGCCTGCTTCTCAGCTTGCTGTATTGCTGACACCATTGAGGGTGCCTGTCAAGCAGCGAAGATTTCGTATTTTTGGTGCTTAAAATTATCTGCCCCGATGGCCTTAGCAGTGCCAAAAAGCACACCGTCCCGAATGTTGAAAGAGTTGGCCATCTCATTCAGCACTCCACCCACCACCAACCAACACTTTGTTTATCTTTGTTTAGAGTCAGAGCCATTCGAGCTCGAAGCTGGAAGGGATGCTCAATCCTTCTAGCTACTACAGTAGCTACGGCAGCTGCGACTCCAGCTCATGGGATTCAGATGAAGACTCGGTGGATGGAAATGCAAATTACCAGAGGGCGCAGCGAGAGATGATTCGTGGCAGAACATATGTTTGAGTCTAGTTTCCTTTTGCCCTTCCTTGCCTGGGTTCCTTGCCATGTGCTGCCCTTACCTTCCCTCAGGTTTTGGAATGTGGCACCCAAAGCCACCCTCACAAAGCAACAGAAGAAACATCTGACAGGGTGGGGCGAGGAGATGCTTCGCAAATCAGGCTTCTTGGTCACATGCTTTACTTATGTTTGACCAGCAGCAAGCACCACCAACCACCATACCCCCCATACGCCCCAGGTGCACTCCCATTGGTGACCGCAATGGCCTCCATGAATGTTGAATGGAAGCTTATGTCAGATTGCTTCTTGTCTTGACTGAATGGCTTCAGTCATATCAGTTGTTCAGCGTTGCATGGAGCTTTTGCAAGGCTGTGGCGCTGTGGGATGCTATTGGGGCCTGAAAGAAGTGATTGGCCAGGCATGATAGTCTGTTTTTACATCAAACTCTCAGTTCAACATGTTTTCCGGCAGGTTACCCTGATCTCGGCGACTGACCGTGCTGTTGCACCTCTGAAGTTCCTGTTGGCAAATGCTCGCCCTCAAAGGCGTTGGTAAATACACACAATTTATTTGCAGCGCATTTTGAAACTTGTGGGTGGATAGCTGAATAGGATAGCCAACTCCTAAGTGTGTCTCAGCAGGCTCTATCTTGGGATGACTGGTCGAAATTATGACGATATGATGGACCCGATCCTTTACTCAGCAGGCTTTCCCTGCACACCGCCACTTGGCAATATCTGGCTGGAGTGGACCAAACATCACAAGACCCATTCCTAGTCCCAAACCGCCCCAGGTACTCAAAGCTGAGACGGGATTCCAAACTCCTGGACGAGAAAGCTGCGGCTGTTTTGGACGACTGCATCAAAGCAATCGCGAGGCACTATAGTCACTGGTGATCGGCAATGATGATTTCTTTTTCCCTAGGAGATTGAAATTCTGTAGGCTGGACCCCTTGGCAGCTGTCATGGAGAACGTCTATGGGGTATTGGATGTATGGGATGATGTACCTTGTCCCTGAAACTTTGTGAAATGCCTATGGAGTAGAAGACCCTCTCAACCCGAATAACTAAGAAGCACCAAGGTGGTGAACAAGTTCCGAGCAGCTGGTATCTTGGACAAGTACTTCATGTGCTACATCAAGATGTGTCCATCCAAGATGGGTGAACCAGTGACTCGTCGTCGAGTCTACATACTCCTGCTCCAGAAGACACTTATATGCACTCAGTAGAAACCATTCACTGCAGTCACTATGAATGCAGACTTTGCTGCGCACCACATGCCGCACTCTAAAAGCTTAGGAAGCTTGCCAAGAGGCGCATCAAAGACAATGACATGTTTGAGGAATATGCCACTGAATCAGTGGAGAAGGTTCATGTGGATGCTGATTGCTGCCCAGTCATTGAAGTGTCCATACCTTATTACTTCAAATTCAATAGAAACAATGCATCCTCAGGCTCTTAGGTGTGTTTTGCCATGTCATGAGTCTTTGCAAGGCCCGACCTGATGCTTGGCAACGACACTGACTATGTGACCCGTGTCTGTCGCAACATCACCAAATCTCTCAAGGCTCCCAAGGAAGAGTCTCTTATTGACTTGAGCAAACCGTTCTGTGGCTGAAGTTGGGGGCATTATGTTTAAACTAGACCACCCATTATGATGAAATTACAGTTGGACATTAGGTCAAAGACTTCCAAACCTCGCTGGGTGAAAAAGCATTTTCTGAAGATGAAGACCGAGAAGGCCATTGTTGTTTTTGCAACCTCTTGAGAATTTTAGATTGCTACAGTGGGGGAGGTGACACCAGATTCCCTCAAGACATGCACAAGCATCCGGCGCTTCTACAATGCCCAGCGGGTTCACCATGCCCAAGCCTCAGCCCACCCATTGAAATTGCAGCATGCCAAGTGACACACTAGGAAACCTGGTCATACTTGTTGGTGGCCTAAGGCTGCCGATATTCACTACACAATGAAGTTTGAGGGCACGCTGAACATGTCACAACAGATTGACAGGATGGGGACAAATCAAGAATGCTCCCCATGTATTACCCCAAAGGCGCAGCTCTTCAACTTTGTGAAGAAGCGGCCATTCACAGGCGTTGACAAGCTGGTATTTCAGGGTTTTCCTGTGGGCAACTTGAAGCTGACTCACCTGACCGAAGAGGAGACTAGTCAGCACAAAATATTCCAGGATACTGTTACTCCATTACAGTCCCACACACAACATAAATGTTGAGAAAATTAGAAAAGATGCCTAGGAGCTACATGTGCTTGGAGGAAATGTGGCTTGGCAACCTGAGCTCCAGGCATCTCTCTTATGTCCACATCGATTCGCTTCCCAAGGCTATGCACTGCAAATGCGTGGCAGCCGCATTCCTGGCAGTGCTCAGCGCAGCTGACATTAAGAGGTTTTGCACAGCTGCCAAGAGGCAGTTTTGAAGCAATAGTCTTCTTATGAAGGGAAAGCAGAACGCTTGAAGCATTTGGCTACCAACAAAAACTGGCTGTGTACTTTCTTCACTTTTTTCTAGAAGCTAATAGCGAAGCTGATACGAAGCATTGAAAACTGTGTGCAACTTGAGCCTCTCCTTGAATTCAAGATTTCAGTTGGCTCAACTTTCCGGGGGAGAGTGAAAGCAGTGAGAGCTGATGAAACGGTTTGATATGGATGACCAGTCTTCTTCATCCAGCCCTGAGCACAAGAGACAGCGCCTTCGTCCAGGAACCCCAGCTTCAGTGTCAGACCTCAGCGGGACATGCCAACACAGCTGTGTGAAGGGTAGAAGTGACCTCTTACTTGCAAACCTGTCAATGTTTCCTGGGGAGGAATCCTGTGAAAGGGAGGACTCGTGCGCTGCGGTCAACGGCAAAAGCAAGCAAAGAATCCAGCAGCTGTTGAAGGGTAAGCTTTGCAACTGCACCAGGAAGTGCGTGAGCAGTCTCACCTTTCGTTTACTATATGGGCTTTGCGTCTCTTTTTGGAACCTTAGCAAAGCAGCTCAAGATTGCGTTCTTTGGGGGATTCAAAACCTACACAAGGGAGCAGTAGCTGCTTCCCCTGATTCTGAAGAAGAGGATTCGCAACCAGGTTCTGATTGTGAGAGTGATCCAGGGTCTTCTACATCTAGCAGCGGCGACACATCAGATGGAGAGTCAGAGTCTTCTTCGGACTCTGACGAAAAGGTGTTGAACTCATGGTACATACAAGGCAGGGCTAAGGGGTGACACCAAACGAGTTCATAACCTGCGAAACCTACTAATAGTAGTATGCAATTTTGCCCTTGTCCAGGTACACGGGTATGCCGTGAAGCCTTTTGCAAGGCTCTTGGAATCAGTTCATGGAGGCTTGTCCGTACACGGCATACCTTCCAGGGAGAAGATCAAAGAAAATATGGTAGCTTGTTGTCATTATGCAGTGTATATTTAGATTGGTTGGAGATGGAACCACTTTCTCCTACTAGGTAATGCCTTCTCACGAACCTCCCATGCAGCAGCATCAGTGGTATCTTTCTTTGAGAAGATGTATTGGAGTTTGGGAGAGACATTGCCTCACGAGTTTCTTGGCTTCCTCAGTGCATGTATGGTTGGAGTGCATGAATGTCGCATTGCACTTTGGCAGTTGTTAGGTTCAACCCTAAAAAGAGTACAATTGAAAGCAATCTTCTATTAAGGCTCAAGGTGCATGAGAAGGATGCCCATTTGGCCACAGAACCGCAAAGGGAGAAGCTACTGAATCTATTGGTGGATTCAGCCTTGGAATCTGACTTGTCCAAGTCTGTTTTGTGCTTGGGCCCTTCAAGTTTGGTACGGCGGTACCTACCACCGGGTTGTTACTCAGACCTATACCACCTTTATGTCAGCTTTCAGACTTCTCAGAAGTTAAAGAGTGCTTCGCCAACGACTTTCTACAGGGTGCTTCGGACCAGCGGTTGGCGAAAGGTCTTGCGATTTCGAAACGTCAGCCAACACTCAGCCTGTAGCATTTGCTCTCGCCTGAAGGCTCAGCTCAGGCACAGCAAAGATGTTTCTGAGCACGCAAAGGCAGCTGACCTTTTGATGAGACATTTGACAGGACAGTTCTTGGACAGGTCAACCTATTGGGCATACAGAACCCGTGCAAAACGGGACCAGGACATCCTCACCCTAATCACGGACTCCATGGACAAAGGGAAATTCTCTTTGCCTAGGTTTGGTGATGGACGTGTTCCCAAGGACCTACAGCTATTGAATCGACCATCCTGCGAAGTCACAGCCACCATCATCCATGGAAGGTTGATATATGTTGCGATCGCTGATGAGGGAGAGGGTTCTGGGTCTTCATGGGTTCTGGAAGTTGTAAACCGCGCGCTGGACAAAGCATTTGTGCAAGCTCAGCAACGCAAGCTTTCATGGCCAACAACGCTCAAGATCTTTTCAGACAACACTCCAAAAGACTTTTGGCAACCAATGTATGTATGTATGTATGTATGTACGTATATATATATATACTATATATATATACATTGAGGAATAGATAAATGTTATCATACCACCTTGTAACAAACCCATCCTAGCTCAGGAGTGCAAGAACGGCATCATGGGATCTTGGTGTTCAGCGACAGTAGCAGCTGGATATTTCCAGCAAATCAGCACAGAACACTTGTGTGTTGGCCACACACACGAGGATGTAGGTAGCGGGGCTTGATTCATTGTGATGGTATTGATTGTACATCCTCTCCCAAGCCTACAATCCACATGTGCAACTAAGATGCATTCTTTGGGCTACTCACCAAATTCATCCGAACTGGAGATGATGGAGTGTGTCTTGGGATTGAACAAACGTGGGTTGCTATGTCCCACCTACTAACTTTAATCCTCCCAGCTGGGGCCTTGACTTAGGCAAACGCCCGAAGACATTGCCCAGCTGCAACCTCAGGATGAACACGACATAGGGCATGTCAACGGCAATCACTGTTGAGGCTGCTCCGCAGCAAGGTGGCGATTCGTATTTCAAGTGGAATACATCAGATCTGTGCGGAACTGGAAAGAGAGCCTTCCACAAGTAACTGCTCTTTCTGGGGCCTATCGCAAACGACACAAGAGGGATGAAGATGTGGTTCCTCACTCGTTCACCTTTATTCAACGATGTCGACCCTTGCTTGGGCAAAACCTCATGTTATTATTTTGATATATTTTTGGATGACCCAAGCCATCCCAAGCCTATCTCACCAAACAAACAATTCCACATTCATATTTGCCAAGACTTGTGATCCAGGTATGCCAAGCACTTTGCTCGAAGAGGCCACGCAAAGATTGCCAAGGAGGTTCAGCCAGAGTGGGTGTGATGTGTTTTGCCTAGTCAAAGCTTTTGTATCGGACGACACCCTATCGCAACCAGCATTGCTGGTACTCCCTGGCCAAAGTGTAGTAGAAGTTGTGGAACCCGCTCTTCGGAAGTTGGGTGAAGCTGATTGCCCAAGACACTTGACACCAGTGAAGGATTCTGCATTCCTTTCAACTGAGTGTTTCAAAACAAACGCCCTATCACAAAACGTCCTTTACAACCGCCCCATGCCAAGAAACTGCCCACTATCTCGATGAGAAGCGCATGGATGACCTCAATGAACTTGCGGACTGCTTGACAGAAGATTACCCTCAATACACACGAGCAGCGCGCTACTTGCACATGTTGGGCGGGCAAGTGGCTAGACCAACCGGAACTCCACCTGTGCTTCAATACATCTTAGCCGGTGCATTTCCGCCTGTGCAGAGAGGTTCACCCAGTCTTCCCCATCCAAAGCCACACAGTGTTCGGCAACTGGGTGTGTCTTTTCAGCGGTTTCACTAGTAAGATGTGGGTCCAACTCTTGTGGCAGAAAAAAGATGCACATGTCTCAGATTGTTTTTGCCCACATTGTGAAGCATAATAGTACAGTGAAATGAATGACGCTGACGCTGCGTGATCTTTTCCTTGGCAGCTCCTGTTTTGGTTTCAAGCATGGCTTCCCCAGTTCCAGCAGTGAAGGCACCAAGCAATCAGCAAGCAATCAGCATGCATTTGCCTTCACTTTCATTCTCAAAAACAACTGGTCAGGAGGAGCCCAAGTCTGAAGACGGGACTCCAGATTCTGCAAAGGTGCAATCTTTGAAGCACCGGCTTCTGGCCACGTTCGAGGAGGCAAGGGATCAAGGGGAACCAAGGGGAACCAAGTGTGTAATCAAACCTGACCAGGTATCTGTGGATCAGAACATTGCGGAGTGGACCTACAACAACCATGGCTTAGATACAGGAAAGCAACTCCAGTTTGCCAAGGCTCAGTCTGAAAACGTAGTGGGTTTCAATTTGGCCATGAATGAAGTAATTGTCAACAACCAAAAGGTTTGTGGTTGAAATCCAAGGCCATGGCTGAAATCTTCTGCATTCCGGAAGTTGCCAAGCACATCCCAGCTGGCCTGGGCCCAGTTTTGAGGTCTGTACCAACGACACAAAGGTTGAACTGCTATCTTCACCCCTGGCACTTAGATTTGAGCGAGGGAGCCAAATATGGAGCCACTGGGAAGTATCCTAGCATGGTGCAGGTTCGCACCCATCTCCCTAGCATTGTGTGGAAGACTTACCAGTCAGAGCGGGAAGCTCTGGACATCAAGTTTGACATGCCACCGGGCGATGACATAGAGTACTTTACTGTGAAGTTCATTGATGGTCACTGTAAGTCTGTCATTTGTCAAGCAGTTCTGGCCCTTGTCATCCACATGCAAACACAGGTGCCTCGATAAAATTTCATGACAATGTGTTCTCTGTCCTGCATGACAAGTGTGCACAGGGGAGAGAATCACACCTACTATCATATGTCTTGAAGCCAAGGGCCTTACCACAGAGGAAATTGCTGGTGATGATGATTTCTGTCGTACGTTGGCTTCTTTGAAGTACATGCGTGCGAACTACACGCCACATCAAGCGCATGAAGCACTCTACGAAACCTTGAGCATCAATCTTAGATTCATGGTGTGACACACTGTGCAATAGGCATACTCTTATGTATATAAAACTAGCACGCATGCACTGAAGGTGTGGCCCATCGAACTTCTGCCAAGCAGAAACCGGGACCGCTTGACTTGGCTCTCGTCTTCAAAGAGGTGGTGAGAGTGAAGAGAGTATCAGGGAACACAGCTTCCATTCGCGAGATCCTCTTTGGATCCATTGCTGAGTATAACCGTCTTTGTACTTCCAAGGCTGGCCCTGTTTGTGAGGGAGCATCCAGCCCTGTTTGTGAGGGACCCAAACAGCGTTGCACAAACCATTGCACCAGGCTTGGAGAATCACCGAGGGCACAAGGAGGCTGCTGTACTCTATTTTGAGATGCCCCGATGAGTTCCTGTCTTTGATGAAGCGAGCGTGTGAAGATTGCACTTGGAGCCAATCAGGCACCGCAGGGATTGAGTTGGCAATTCTAGCTTGAAACACATATTACTATTAGCTTGAAATGAAAGGGTCTTTGCAGAGTTGCATGCAGGCTGCTCCATGTTAATGAAGTTGAAGCAAAAACACTGCAACAGAAAACCAGCCAATCCAAAAGGTCCTGACCCAGAATCTTGTTGGAATCCCATCATGTCAATCATGCACCCTGCAGCTTTTACGGACGAGAACCTCGATGGAGATTGGTTTGTCCCAGGGGGGACACTTGGTGGCACAGCAGTCACTGACCCCTTCTGGAAGCAGGTCAAGGAGAGGGTTCTTTTGCCAAATTCTGCCCATCACTCTCCCTGCCACCCTGATCCCCCTGAGACCGTCACCACCAAGAAGGTCATCACGTGGGGTGTGCGGGCTGTGGATGAACATCACAGGAAAGCTCCTTCAGGCTCCACTGGTAAGCAGAAGGACTGGGACTGGGCACAGCGACAATATCACAGTCTAACTCTAAGTTTGTTTCTTAATAACTATTGGCTTTCAGACTTCAAAGCACAAACTTGTCTTGCCCTGAGAAAATGGCCCAGCGAGACTCCAGCAAAATGCAAGACTTGCTGGATGTGTGCTGCCTCTGGGAACACATCAAGGACGACATCGCAAGCTACTTTGGCCCAGGGGAGGAGTTGGACAAGATTGAGTCCATGTGGAACCTTGGGCACCTAGGTTGCAACAAAACCACGACATTTCAAGAATGCCAACCCAAACCGATGTATTTTCCAGCCCTCACAGAACAGTTGCTGGAGTACAGTGGTTTTTAAAAACCGCGACATTCTAGCAAGCTCCAAATTGAAGGGAGAGATTATTTTCATGTTTTCAATCTATGAAGAATATCTCTCCCCTCTTCTTCCACAAAAGGAACATCCAACCGCGGCATTCTGGGAATGAAACCCAGCAGTCTCAAACTTACATGGTTTTGTATCTCCCCACTCGTTTTGGCCAAGGTTGAGTACAGTGGTTTTTAAAATCCGCGCTACTCAGCCAGAGCCAAATCCACCAAACAGAACACGACATTGGCCAATGGCCAAGGCAAACCACGACATTCACCCACAGCCAAGCCTGTCAAATCACCACACCAGGTATGGAGAATATTCTTGGGAGCAGCTAAGGAGTTTGGACCCAGAGCTCAAAAGCCATTGCAGGACCATGTCTGCATTCGACTGGAAGCGGCTGAGTTTTGTGCTGGAGGGCAAGGCACTTTGGCAGACCAACAGCTGGAAGCAGCCCAATCGAAAACATCCAGTGCTTTGAAGCGGTCACAAATCAGTGCCTTTGAGCTGTTCAAAACCAACCTTGAACAGGATCAAATCCTGCGCCGTAAATACATCTCTGCAACCAGTGGAGACGAGAGCCGAGCTCGAGCTGCCATTGTGGAGTCTTTGGAGGCTGAGGGATGAAATGGACCTAGTATGAGAAAACAAAGGGCCAAAGGCCTTTGGACCCTAAAAGCAGTTCATGGTAAAACTCAAGACTCAGAGTAGACAAACAGCTAACAAGTTGTAAGCTTTGCACAGTTACCACCCAGATCCATGTCCAATCACCTCCCTTTGCAGAAAATGCACGGGATTGCATGGAAGCATGTCAACTCCTTTATCCAAGATGTCGCCCCAACATGGTGCAACTGCCCAACAGCCAAGCAACGGGAGGTTGCAAGCGCCAGCTTCTTGGATTTCAGGGCAAGGCATCATGTTTGACCCTCTTCTTTTGGCTGTGCACGCATCATAGAAAAGATCAACCACCAAGACCGACCAAGACCCAAAGCCATCTAAACCTGTCAGCACTTGTCCCAGGTCCTGATGCAGACACTGACACATCTGGCAGACTGGCAGCACAGCTATTGCCCTGGTTGGAGTCAACGTTGTCTGGGTTGAATGGTGGCATGCGCCGCTATGACAACGAGCTTGTGATTGGGTACATCAACTTCCCAGCGGCTGGTGTTCCCTCATCCTACAAGACTCATTTTTGTCTGAGCCAGGTTACCCAACTTGCTTCTTCCATGACAAAGTCTTTCGTTGCTGTGGTGGTGATGCCAAATCGCGCAGCAGACCTTCGTGCAGGGACCAAGTCGTCTCCTCAAAGTCTACCAAGTGCACTTTTTGTACACCAAGAGAGGTCAAACTAGAGGTCAAGAGGACACAAAAACTGATACAAACGGTAGGTGTCCTTACCGTCTGTATCAGTTTTTGTGTCCTCTTGACCTCTCTGGAAATTTGCGAGTCTGGGGTAGTTTTGGGCATTGAACACTGTAGTGTAGCAAGGTCAGAAGTCAAGGAGGATGAGGATGATGCGGTCAAAAAGGAACATCCAGGCCCTGAAGTTTAAACAAACCGTCTGACCCTTACCAAAATTATATTCACAGTTGTTTGAGAGAACCAATGAACCAAGTGATTCAATGTCAAAGAAACAAGGGGTGTCAATCTTTGTTGGAAGTAGTGTCAACCCCAAAGGTTGGAAAAAGATAGCCTTCAGAATTAAGACTGATTGACAGTAGTTTGAGCTATATGACTTGTAAATTTGAAAGCACAAGCCGAGCGAAGCTAACGCACTCCTGCCCAAAGGTGAAGCTGCACCAGAGGAGGAAGAGGAGGACGAACCAGAAGACAAGCCTGATGGTGAGTCAGTCTTGCGGGACTTTCAATACCAGCTTATGACTCAATACATGGAACGTGCCCGCAACCTCAAGGTGACTCTGTTTGCATTTTGGCTACAGTGCCAAACCCTTACAGCCTGAAAGTGTTGAACCTTCCACTCTCGTTCACTGTGAACCTTTTTCCCCATTCTAGTGGACACTGTCCTTTGCAATGTTTTTTGGTGTTGAGAATCAGCAACCAAAACACTTATTCAAGCGGTTCCATGCAAGCCCCAATCAAGTTAAACCTAAACCAGGGATGCTGTGAAGGTGTCCAAGATTAGTGTTCCTTTGAGCCAAGAATAGGTCTGTTTTATTTGGGACACCTCCAACAATCAATGTCAACAGGTGAACTTTGTGCTATGGCCTGAAATCATGTTAGGGCATTAGGCTATTGTGTGCAACCCTGGAAGCCAAAAGGTGAAGAAGGGAATGGTGAGCTTCCACCCTGACACCATCTATGGAAACCGCAGTGGCTTCCAGGAAGTTCTCATCATCACGGCCAACGACAAGTCCAATCTGACTTGGAAATCTAAGTTCTTCAAAAGTGGACATGTCCATGGAGTGACCATGCTGGGCAGGCAAGACATGCTCAAAATGCCCAAAGATCCAAGCGGGTTTGGCGGTGAGGGGCGCTTCACACAGGTTCAGGAGATGAAGCAGGCGAATGCCCGCCAAACTTTAAATGGGACAGTAGCAAAATTGCAACTCTTGATTCTTGAAGGAAACAACCACATGCAAGAACCCCTTGTTTTGGTCAGCGGTCAAATAACTATACAGTTGGAATGATCTATGCCAATTCTCTCGCAATAGGGTTTTGCAGTTGCATTCAAAACCTTCCCTGCAGCACTGCGGCGGCGCAAGCTTCGTATCGACCATCGTTGAGGGCCTGACACCACAAGCGATGAAGCCAGCGACTGTTCTCCTGGATATGCTTGGGTTTGATGGGTGGTGTGGCACCCATACCCTGCAACAGGTGGCAATTGGCAATTCAGCAAGCAACAACATGCTCTTTTGCCTTGTGTTCTGTTTGAACCCTGCCATGCCCTCACATGTCTTCAGAACTTTAAAATCTATTTTGTTATATTTTTATCTGACCCCAAAGAATGTCGTCAACTACAAATTAGGGGAGCCATGGTTAATCCCTGTTTGCACCAAAAGATTGAAGTTTCATTCACAACCAAGGCAAAAAAATGGCTGTGGCTACCATCGGGCATACGGCTGGCGAAAGCTCCTTCTGCTCCCAGGTGATTGGCAACAAAGCCTTTGACCTGGCTCGCAACGGGCATCTCAAGATTAGTGGCTTCCCAGACTTCAAGCAGAGTGTGCAGGAGCTCCAGAAGGTTGAGCCACCACCACAGCCGAACTATTCAGTATCAGTACCCTTGGGGCAGGCATTGCTCACCAAGGAGTGCTTGGTGGATGAATGGCAGCAAAAGACGGACTTTTGCAAGGAGTTTGAGGTCTTGCTAGCGGCCCATGACCAAGAATTCAACCCGAAGAAGATCAAGAGGAGTTCTGAAACCCTTGGCCAGAGTCCTTCAGAGCCACCAACCAAAAGGCTTTGTATTCAAGCGGATCCATTGAATTTGAACGAGTTTGAGACAAAGTTCCCCAACAGGCTAGGGCATCCAAACAATCCAATCACACTCAACTCATGTAAGTACCAAAATCTCAATCGTAGATTCTAAGATGATTCAAGCTGTGACAGGCAAGATCTGGCATCTGGCCACTGGACCCTGAGCTTGGCTGATGGCCAGCTCTTCCTTCATTCCAACGAGGACTTCACAGTGCCACAAAATGAAGAGCTTTGCTCATTTGGTTCTGGGGACTATGTGAAAGATGTAGAGGCCAACGATGTCATTTCGGATGCGGATGGGCGATGGGTTCAGTATGACCTCACAGGCCCAGCGGCTGAGTCCCTGGCAATCTTGGAGCACTCGAGGAAACTTCCAGAGCACCTGCGTGACAAAGATTTCTTCAACAAGGCGCCTGCCTACAAACTAACTGGTTTTGCGCGTTGTTTAATTAAATAACCAATGAATCATGCCACCACAAAGAAGCCATACTAGCCACCTGCAGGTCCTACCATGCTCAGAGATCATGCTCAAGTTAGAGAATGAGGGGGAGGTCAACCTGGCTGTGGCAGAGCACAAGACCGCCAAGGACCAGCAAGGCAATGTGTCTTTTCAATCCCTGCAGAAGGTTGCCTTCGTACTTGATCCGATCAAGACCAAGAGTGAGAAGAAGAACAAAAAGGCAGGGCACATGTGATGGTAAGAGCACTGCCGCCTAATGAACATTTGACAAATGGTTGTGAGGTACCTACACGAAGCATGTCTGTATCCATCCATCCAGCCATTTGTTTCCCTTTCCTTCCTTCCCTCCCTCCATCTACCATCTCTTCTTTGGCATCCTTCTAGGCGACAGCAATTTCCTTTGGGGCCAACTTCCCGATGGGCAAACTGCGAGCTCCTTCCAACCGGAACATCAAGATTGTGTGGAGGATGAGGCAAGTTGTGGGCTTCCAAAAGTTATCTTTCATTATCGCTCACTTTCACCCCTCATTGCTGCCCTGAAGCAAGTCAAACCTCTGCCAAACTTATTTGATTCCCTTTCAGGCTTCATGCTGAAAGTTCCACTTCGCGCCAGTTGGTCCCCATTCGCCCTGTGGCGATTCTTGCTGGGTCAGTGAGCTTAAAGAGCAAGAGTGTTCTTCAGCTCTTGTGAGCATGGGATGATCGTTTACCAGCTTTTCTAGGTTCACATATAGGGGTTGACTCATACACAATACAGTGTATGGTCTTTGTGGAGGAACCTTGGGATTATCGGTTGAATGCTGAAACATGATCTCCATCTCTCCTTAACAAATAAAACCTTGTAAGAGCCCCGTCTCTTTGTATTGTAAACAACCAGGGCGGCTCCTCTCAATAGGGTTGTGAATCTGCTCCTCCCTCACCAAATCTGAATCAAATTGGTGAGAAACGGTCACCTGCGTTGAGTTGGAAAAATTGAACCACGTCGCAACTTTGACCATTAAGTAGTTGAACAAACAGCGCCTCAAAGATGTGCAGTCTGTGAAATAACAATTAGTGATGCTCAGCCTGCAGTCCTGGTAGCATTTTGGGGTTCAGTTCTGTTGGAGGGAAAGGCCTTTCGTTTGCCATGACATCTCAATCTTTCGGATTCACACCAAAGTTTGCTGCGTCTGACTACATCGACCTCATCAATGACAGCCAGACTCAGAGTCCCCCACCTCCAGCAGCGAGCCGACCAGCTGCTGCATCCAGCAAGCCAGCGCCTTCACTGACTGCAGGACCCAACATGACTTGAAAGAGAGCTAGGATTTGTATGGGTCATAGTTGTCCAACCATTTGTATGGGATCGTATAGGTATAAAGTCAATCCATGTCCAGGAACTGGGACAAGCCTGCTACGACGCTGCGATGCTTCAGCTTCTGGGAGTACTAGTTCGCCAGACTATGTCAAGAAGACCGATGAGAAAAAAACAGAAGCCAAGAATGCCGATACCAAGCCACAGAAAGGCACCGAGACAAAAGACTCAAAGAAGAAGAAGAGAGAGAAAAAGACAAAGAAACAAAAGGTTGAAGATGATGAGGGGGATGCATCAGACCCCCCGGAACCAATTGTAGATGATGATGATGATGATGAAAATTTCGATGGGGACATAGACGTTAGGCTTCAGCCAAGGAAAAAACCAAGCACTGGGACCAAAACAACACCACGCAGTTCCAAGGGACCCAAGAGCGGTAACAAACATCATAAGAAGAGAGGGAAGAGACATGATTATGCTGAGACTGGCCTGGCAGGGCCAAACCCTATGGATGCTGAAGTGCGCTTGGCCATTGAAAGGGCTGACCAGGCTGAAGCACATGCCCACAGAAGGCTAGCTAGGGGCAAATCAACCTTTGATCTCTTGCGCAGTCAGGAGCTCCATTGCTTCAATCACTAGGCACCTCAATCTCGTTTCCTTATGAGTAGGCTTTTTCAAAGTATGTTCTCTATGAACCCGCTCTTCTAAGAACCTGCTCTTCAAAAAGATTTAAGTACCCTCTATATGACATTACTTGATGCACCAGGAGGATGTCCACATCGAACCGCGCGCTTTGCTTGATTCCTTTGACTCCCAGATGGAGACTGGAGAGGCTTGTACCATCATGCGTTCTAGATTGTGTTTGGATGTAGATGTCCAGGCCCTCTCACCCGCGTTCAAGTCCAGCCTAATCGATGCATGTTCATCGGCAGGCCATGACACACCTGGGCAAAGCGTTGGAAACCATGAGCATTGAGAATGAGACATGGGCGGACAAGGTTGGCTGGGATTCGTTGAGATGCATGCACCTATGGATTTCCCAAGGATTCCTACCAAGATCTTTTTGGATCCGGAGCAATACTCTACGAGGACAAAAAGTCAAAACATTATTGCGTTTGTCCATCTATGTTATCATGCCTTTGGAGGAGAGTGGTGACAAGGTTTCCGAGTGTACCAGTCCCACTTTGATTTTGGGCCAGGCTGGAAACTTGCTGATTGCGAGTGACATATAATGGGATCAAAGCTGCTTCCATCACAACTGTAGGAGGACCAAGACGACTATGAGTTCAATGGGCAGCCTGCTGACCAACTCCATCCAAAAGAGGAGCTAAGTTTTACTCCATCCAAATGGCCACTGTCTTTTTGTTTTTGCAGGACCCTAAGCCTGTTCCGGAAAACATGGAAGGGAACCTTTCTCTCGAGGAGAATGGATATGGTGCCTGATGGTTGGAAACAGCTAGCTCTTGGCATGACATTGGGATTGGGCGCTGAATGGGTTCAAGGCTGCTTCTAGCGCAATCATGGCAGGACCACTCTTGTCCTAGTCATAGTCCAAGCTAGCCCCTGTTCGTTGTATTTGCAGGACACTGAGGCTGTTCCCAACAACATGGAAGAGGGCCATTACACTCAGGTGTGGGAATCTAGCACCTGGCTGGTAGCTGGAAGTAACTTGCCCTTTTCAATTGTCTTTAGAAGGCAGGTTCAATTTGCTTCCATCAGAACTGTGGGAGGATCTGGACATCGAGTTCAATGAGCAGCCTGCCGACCAACTCCATCCAGCAGCAAAGGAGTTGGGTCTTACAATCCACTCTTCTGGCAGCTGCTTTTTGTTTTTGCAGGACCCTACGACTGTTTTGGACAACGGGGAAGGGGACCTTTCTCTCATGCGCAAGAAGGAGTCTTTGTGGGACTTGCAGGATACAAGGGGGTCCCTCTCCTTGTTGATAAGCTTGATATGTTCATGTGGTGTGAAGTTCTGCAAATGTCAAATTGTAACCAGGACTTCCAGGACTCCCAGGACTTGGCACCTACGCTTGGCAATGAGGCTTGTTTGTGTTTCCCTGAGGGTTGTGCCTAAACCCCACCTACTCGTGATGGCCCATGGACTCATGATGGATAACCCCCAGTGATATGCTAGTGACATAGTGTTTGTTTGTGAGTTCCTGTCTTCAGCCTAACCTTGCCAGGCTGAAGAGATTGAGATGGCTACTCAGCAGGAGGGTGCCAGATTCTTATCTGTTTCCATTGAATCCTACTCTGAACTTGGCTATATATATACATATGAATCCGGCTATATGTTCTTTGTGCAAGGATTCGCCTATCAATATCTGTTCCGATGGCGAAGATGCGAAGTTGACAGCTGGGCTACCGGACACGGCGGGGAGCATGGGAGAGCTGAACTATGAGTGTATAAATACTTACACCAGGATGCATACAGGTATAATAGTAAAGGCCCTATCTTAATGCAATACATGAGAGTTGTGCCAGCTGCTGTCACAGTGGTTTAAATCTGTGCAAAAACTGCAAAACAACGGCTGTAACTGACATGAGCAAATGAAATTATGGATGAAAATGGAAACTGTTTTGTTCAGGCTCATGGCAATGATGGACCTTCCAATGCGTTGGGCCCTCAATGACTTTTATCCTTTTTTGAAGGCTCCACAAGTTTGAGCCCTTTGAATAAGGAAACGGGTGCGCATCGCGATCTCCCAGGGGACGCCTGATGTGCCAACTCCCAAGACTAAGCCTGGTCGCAAGCGAAAGCAGGTGTCTAAGCCCAAGGAGGAAAGCTTGGGTTCCAAGCAGGCAAGATTGGGCTCCAAGCCCAAATCGAAGGCACGGCCAAAGGCCAAGGCTAAGGCTAGCCCAAAGAAAAAAGCTTCTAAGAAGGCTAAGGGATGTGGGAAAGGGCGTGGGCGTGGTGGTAAGTCTGGGGTGATCATGAACTATGAGAATGTCTACAGCCGGGAGTACCACCGCTTGAAACGCAGCGGTGCCACCAATCAGCAGGTGCGGGTGTGTGAGTGCTACATGAAAGTAATTAAAGTAAGTGCCAGCACCCTTCTCCTGTGCTAGGCTGCAACAGCAGCACGTGGGCTGGCTGAGCAGTACAAGAAGAAATGAATAGATGATTTCTGATCAGATTGATATATCTGATATTGGGATTCATTCGGGGCGAAAAAAGATTGCAGGGAGCGTTTGCATGCTGGCTGTGAAAAACCTGTCACTGTGAAAACAGTTTTAGGCTAGAAACCAAGTGCTGGTTCCCAATGGTTCCAGTGCCAGTTGGGGTGACTGGGTCTTTTGATTAAACGCTGGTGCTGTAGTTGTATCGGCTCATCATGCTCATGTCTGGGATGCAAATCACCACCAGTGGACTTGCCAGCAAGCATCCCCCGTGCTATAATGAACATGGTCAATCCATTTTCTTAATTTCTGTCCAATCTCTGAACCTCTGTCAATCATGTGAAGGAGTCTGGCCTGTGTCCAGCTACTACTAGTAGCTTCTCGTCTTGCTAGCTATATCTTACTAATCTTACTACTCGCTTCCTACCCCTCAAAACATATTACAGTAGAAACATATCCTCTCTACAACCTCTTGTTCTCTCCCGCGCTGACCTTGGGCTTCACCCCTGTGAACTTCGCAAGTTGGGAGTCGATGCTTCGCTCCTGAATAGCACGCTAAGGCAACAAAATCACTGAAAATCACAAAGGCATTGGTCAATCTTGCCAAATCTTCCGGATTTAATGCTTCCAGTCTCTCTCCCCCTCTCTCTCTCTTCTGATGCATCTTTTGTCAAATAGTGAACATCGCAGCAGTTTCAAACAGTTACATGCATGTCGCTGACCCATGAACAATGGCGGTCCCGGTCTGCCAGCAAGCCACTGGGTTTCGAGCTAATCACAGCCTTTGTAGAATCAAGCCATGTCACATGTGCCGCATGCGTCACATGCCTAGTGCATTTTTTGTCCCGTTCAAGCAAACTTGTGTACCACTATGCCGATATTTCTTGGCTTCCAATTATGAACTCACGCCGACCCATGCCTGAACTTCCTTCATGGTGGTATGCCTCAAGAGTGAAGTGACTGGGTCCTGCCTTAGGAGGCTGCAAAGTTTGAGCAGCTTGAGCTTTTGGTGCCTGAGAACGATATGAACATGCCAAGTGGTAATGTCCTCGCTGGATTCACCAGTCTACTTGTTTATGTTCACCCGTGTACATTAACTTGGACAGAGAATGGTTTCAAGAATGGACATACACAAACACCTTCAAGAATGATACCGGCTTCTCTCAGCCTGAACAGCGGAATTGAGGCTTTGTATCACCTGAGACGCATGCCCGCGCATCTTATACAGTGCAGAACTGACTGTTGTTTCCAAGGAAAAAGGAACCACAAACCTTCCTGCCCACAGAGTTCAAGAGGAAAACCAATCAATTTTGGGAGTGCCCATCTCCTGTGCTGGGCACATCTGGGCACCCAAAGTCAAGCCGCCTCATGCCCTTTACTTTCATGCCCTTTACTTGCACAGACGGAACATTGAGTTCAAATGATCTCAACCCTCTCAACTCTGCAACTTTGCTCAATCTCTGCAGCTCACCACCTTGCTGGTGGCCAAGAAGGCATCTTTACAATCTCCAGAAAGTTCACTTTCGTACTTCTGCAAGCAGTCCAGAATACCAACCTATAGAGAGCTGCGAGTACAAACGACCCACCCAAGCGCTACACCCACCACATGTTCCAAGTGGACACCAGCTCATTGTGACATTGTGTTTCTCGCTTTTGCAAAGCAGTTCCTGAACATCCACTTACTTTGTGAACAGTTCCTTCAGCCCCGATCTGAGTGAGAGACGTGCAAGACATCACAATGTTTGTCAATAGCTGCACTGCATACAAAGGGAACCTCAGGCCAAGGTTTAGCAGCTACCCTTTACTCTCACGTTTCACGCTTCTTCAGGTCTGTCTGCCGACTTTTTTGATTTCTGAAACGAACCAGAAATACACGATTCGAGAAAACACAACAGTGTTTAATAATATATATATCTATTCACAGTATATTATCTCTCTTCAAATCAGGCAATCTCTTTGACAGCTTACAAAATAGCTCCACTGCACCATAGACTTCCAGTACCGCTCAGCAGCGCATCATTTCTCAAACCTCCTCTCGCACAGTCTTGGCCTCCGCACAAAAGAGAAA